GAGCTCGTCTCATACTCGTTTAATTCGATCTCGAGTCGAGCTTTTAACGAGTCGATCCCGAGTAGCTCACGAGTAGCTCGACTCACTTACACCCTAGGTGGATTTGACGAAAACAAATATATATAATTGGATATGAAATAGAAAAAGACTGCCGACATCCCATCGTCTGAGAATCATACCTCGTAGGCTCGTATGACAGTGTCAACGGCTTATACCTGAGTTTCAACTTTCTACTTTCATCCTTCAACTACTTTAAACCTCCATTTTCAAATACTTTCGTTTTTAACAAGGACTAAAAGTGTTAGTTATTATAATATTGAGGGGCGACATTTGTAACTTTCTTTTCATGATATAAATTCTTACATCGTACCACTCCGTTTCTAGCTAGTTACACTCCATAATCGGACCACCGCATTCTCCGGTTACCGGTTCCCGCCACCATCGACAGTTTCTCATTTCTACCGGTAAACGATCGAATTTTGTTTCTTTTATTGTTCTAATCTTGTTTTATTGTTTTTTATTCAATCTAACGCGGTTCGATCGATAGTGTTTCTACGTAGTGTTGGTTTCGTTTTTGCTGTTTTTATACTTCATTTTAGGTTTTAATAATCATCTAATTAATTTGGAACAACTGATACAGTGATTTAGCTAGGGTTTACCTTGATAATCGTGGAATCGCTTTGATTTACGTTTACTAATCTCGAACACCCAATACAGGGATCGTATGTGAACGTAAATGTCATAAATAATGTAACTATTTACTAAATTAGAAGCTCTAACTTTAGAATGTAATTCTGACTTTAAATTTTAATGCATTTAATTTCGTAGATCAAGTAAGAAATCATAACTTAATAACTCCATTAAACAATCTCGTAATTGAATATTCCTCATCGGTTTTTGTCTGTATATCAATATTAAGCCTAGTACTTTTTCGAATTTGAAACTAATATCAGTTTGAGACGCAATATTAAACACTGGTTCCTGAATCTGTTAGATGATGAAAAGTGATTTTGCAAGTTTGCTGAAAAGTCTGCATAATAATCTAAGGCATGGAATATGGATGCTGTTATGTCCCCAGGCAACCACCAGTGGCACTGGTCCACGCTGTTGATAGATCAACACTCAGAATTTTTTCCATGTTTTGTAAACTTGTTCTGTTTTAAGTTTTGTAATGCATTTGATTTAATATTTCCTTTCTATACAGAACTAAACAATCTTGATCTTTGTTAATGCAAATATAATTTCAATCCATCTCTGTGTTGAGTCTGTTCATCTATAATTCGTTCATAATTCCGTATTTTGCTGTTTGATTGAACCTGAAACTCTTCATAACCGAAAATAGTCTTGGAAGCTTTTGGAATTTCTGTTAGTTTTCACACGAGATATCGTTTTATTTCTTAGAAATTTACATTTGGTGGACACTGGATTTTTCGTCTTCATGGGGAAATCATTGAAGTATCCAGGATTCAGTTTTAAACCTACTGATGTTCATTTGGTGATGTATTACCTCAAGAACAAGTTATTAGGGAAAAAACTTGATCCAGAATTTATTGCAGAGATTAATATAAACGATTTCAGCCCATGGGATCTTCCAGGTATTAGTATATTCATGAACATATAGGATGTTAGCTTATAGTTTCCTCGATTGTTCTTTTCTTATGGGAAGATTGGGCTAAATGAAAGAAATATCAATATACTTTCATGTACTTGTCTATCAATAGCATTATACTTTCATTTCCTTTTTAATTCTTTTCAAACTAAGGCACTTACTTGTACATTGAAAAAACATTGTACTTTCACTCATTTTTTTTATATTGCTTTCTATTTGGATGTCATTGTTATAATTGAGTAGAGTTTCCAAGTATTTGTTGTACTTTACCTATGCTAAAAGAGAGAGTTGACTAGAAGGGTTTAATGAGTTGACTTGTTATTGTCTTAATGCTTTGTAATAAATAAGCATCTAGGGGCTTTTATGTCATTTTCCTAGATTAGGTCGGTAGAGGTTAATTATAAGTTGAAGATTTGTGTTGGGTTGAGGAGATGATTCAATTTTTGTTAGAAGTCAATTTTGGAGAGTTACTGGTCTCATGTCATTTTCCAGTTAGTCGTTTGTATTCATTTTCTCCTCTTTTTTATATTGTAAAAGTTTCAAAGCAGTGAGTACAACCATTCAGTTCAGCTAATTCATACAAGATTATACCAATACAATAGGAAGAAATGAAAGTAAGATGCTATAATAAGCAAATCAATCAAAGTACATTGGTATTTCTTGCATCTAACATTGGAAACATTTATGATATCTTAATCTTATCAGCCAAATCCATATTGAGTGGCGATCTAGAGTGGTTCTTCTTCTCTTCAAATTCTAAAAAATATTTAAGTGGGCCCAGAATGAATCGTGTAACTAAAACTGGATTTTGGAAAGGCACTGGGAAAGATAAAGAAGTCAAATACAAAGGAAGAACTGTGGCAATGAGAAAAACACTGATTTTCTATGTGGGCCATCCAGGAAAGCGGACAATAACAAATTGGGCTATGCATGAGTACCGGATGACAGACGAGGATTTAGCTAACCAAGGGGTTGCTCAGGTACCCTGTGGTATAATTGTTAAATTACTTTTCTAACCTTTGTAACAAGGTTGGGATGATGTGTATTTCAGGAGGCATATGTAATCTGTAGAGTTTTTGAGAAAAGTGGTCCTGGGCCGAAAAACGGGGCACAATATGGCGCACCATTTGAGGAAAAAGACTGGGATGATGATGATGATGATGATACATCTACTGTAACATCTTTAATGATGGTTGGTGTGTTGGTGAATCCTAATAATGCAAGTTTTTTAACATCAACATGTCCATCTACAAAAACGTGTGATCCGAATAATGCAAGCAGTTTGGGTCCATCTGCTATCACATCTGGGGAAGATGAGAGAGTGACATATGTTCCTGTTAATGATGATGTCATGCTTACCCATGGTGACCTTGCTTCACTCCTTCAAAATAACAACACTCAGAAGGAGGTAAAAGAGGTAGAAGATTGCAAAGGGAAGAAAGTGATGATTGATGATGGTATTGATATGTTAAATGAGTTTCTGGATGCGAGCAACCCATATGATTTGGGCCAAGATATGTTTAACATGTTTAGTGTCGATGGATTTGATGATGATAGCCTGGATGCATTCCCAGGTGATGATTTTTGGAAGTCATTGGAGGACTGAGTCAACGTGGATACATGTCCACATCCGGTTTTGTATTACTCATAGATTTATACAATTATATGTTTAGGAATATGGCACATTTGTGTTATAGTAGATATATATATTTATAAAACAATACGATTTTAGGATATGGTAGTGGCACATTTATGTTGTACTATTTTTGTGTGTTATTTAGTTATACTATAGTAAATTACGATGTTGTGTCAAAATCAAAGGATGAAAAATAGGAGAGGTGCATTAGGATATAGGAGGATTAAATAGGATGATAAAGCACAAGGAAATTTTATTTTCCATAAATTTATTCCACACATTTTGATATTTACTTGTGCACTAGTTGTTTTGTCTATACTCATTTACGTAATTGGTTTTCTTTTTCATGCCACATGTGGGCTTTTCTAAACTGGATTTTTGGGGTCCAATGACTCCGGTCCATGTTCACCTAATAATACGTACACACTTTATTTAAAATTACTAAGTTCTATCTTTTTATTTATATAAGTAGTACATTAGATATGTTTTACTTTAGGGTAAATTATACGAATCGTCCCTCGTACAAGTGTCAAAAACATATTTTATCCTTATTTTTTAAAATTAACAAACCATCCCTCATTTGTTTAATACTTACACGCTTAATATAAAATGTTGTAGGTTTTAGTTTATTTGGTTTTTTATTTGATTTACCATAATTAATACAAAATATAATAGACTTTTTTAAAAGTTTCACAAATGGTTCTTATATGAATTTTTTGAAAAGTTCCCAAATAATCATTATGGGGACTTAACGTGTGTGTCTCTCTCTCTCTCTCTCTCTCTCATGTTGAAAAAAAATCAAAATGAACGTTTGAAGGAAATTTTTAAAGCAAAAGGACCATTCGTGAAATTTTTGATTTAATAACAATAAAATACTTAGAAAAGAAAGAAAATTAGAAAATAAATATAATAATGACAAGTTAATCATTTTAGTTTTGGATGAGACCAAATCAACAACAAAATTTGCTGGAAAAAACTATGTTTCTGATTTTGAAATTTTGGGGACCAAAATTCTGAAAAAAAATGCAAACCACAAATACAATTTTTGCAGTTTGTCTAAATATAAATAAATAGTATGATAAGATCCAAAGTAAAAAAGATTAAAAAGTTAGAGGTGTAATATATACCATTTATTTCTGTTGGAGGACCTTAAATGAAAATAATTGGATGATGGATTGACGTTGATGAGTAACTTTTATGCAATACACTAATTAATGGTGCATATAGGAGTACCTTTTTCTTTTTCTGAAACAGCAAAAGTTTTATAAAAAGTCATCCTGCTATGCTAGAAATATACCAAAAACGCCTAACAAGACATGGAAACAGGAAGCAAAGATACAAAAGTTTTGACACTTGTTTATCAAATATCAATGTGTTAGGTACTAATCATTGTTTTATGTCTGCTTGAGTGCTTGTAATAAGTGCATGACGAAATACAAGACGATCACACCTAGACTCCTTACACATGCATCATGTGAGTTTTTAATCAAATGCTTTATTTTGAAAATATTTTGTATCAATCGGATTTAATTTTTTTTTTTCAACAACCATCTCTAGCTTTTAGGAATTGGAAAACGTGAATCTCGAGAAATGTTTTAGACATGCCACCTCACCTCGTTCTAACTCCACCATTCAATTGTACAACCCCATGCTATTCAATTATACAACCCCATGTTGGTGTCTATATATATATATATATATATAGTCAAGCACTTAACGGACTAGACGTACAACTTCAGTTCCACACTAACCAAAATGGTACATACTTTCACCATATTCTGAGAGATTGTTATCTATATTTGAATAGGGAATGTCAGGTTTACATGGTTTCTTCATTGCTAGCATTCTTTCAATCTCTTTTAGTAATATTTTATTCTGGATCCATATGCAGGCAGCCAATGCAGAATGCGTATGGGGTACAGTTTGGGGAGGAAATGGTGGATCCCGTACCTGGGAATTCATAATACCTGATGGTTCAAGACTTACCAAGATTGATTTATGCAGTGGAAACGCTTTAGATTTCATCCGCTTCACTTACAAGGATGGGTATGGCCATACCCATACTTCTGAAAAATTCGGTGGTGATGGTGGCTCATCTCATATGGTAAGCTTCTAATTCATCTGTCATGTATACACGTATCGAAGTTAGGTTCTTATTTTACAATATAGCAGTCATGATATTTATATTTGGGTTTCAGATCATCTTCGATGACAATGAGTATCTCATCGGGATTAGTGGGCGTGTCGGATCATTTGGTGACAACACCGTGATTACCTCAGTGACTTTCCAGACCAACATCAGAACTTATGGGGAATACGGCACAAACCCCGGGACTGATTTCTCGTTTGGGGTCACACGCGGTAAGTTTTCGGGATTCTATGGAAAGTGTGGCAGTTCCGTAGACTCTTTGGGTGTCATTCTTCAGGCGTCACATGCTCCCTCTTTGAGGTCGATGGTTCAAGTCCCGTCGTGGACATAGGTGGAATAGATGTTATTAGCTTTAGAAGTAGATTAGATTTGTCGGTTCAAAAAAAAATCTATCCTTCTGCGTTCATTAATATTAATTTACCAATTAAGAATACCAAAAACATGATGACCATAAGAACATAAAGAATAATCATCTTCTTCCTAACCTATATATTAATTTTTCATATACATAAACCTTCGAATCCATAAGTTTTGATCTTTGCAAATCGTTGTTGAATCAGGCTTTGCAAGTTGAATTGTTGTTAACGTTTAGCTACTATGATCATTCTATTTGAGGCTAAATCAACAAATTTTATATGTAAATTGTAATATAAACTTCAGATTATGTTAATTAGTAAAAGTTATAGGTTGGCAATTCATAGCATTTCGATAAATGAGGTTTCGACTTCCTATTCCAAATAGGTGAAAATTGCGATTTATAGTCATTTTTTCTTTCAAAACGTTGAATTAACGTAATACCTAATCTACTAATTTGCTTAAAATATTATCCGATCAGGAGGTTGGTTTATAGATGTTGTGTGTGACATCCCGGAATTTAGGTCAAATGAATTCTGGTATCATACACAATATCCATAAACCAACCTCGTGATCGGATATGATAAAAATTTAATGATAAAACAAATATAATAAAAATTTTGGGTTATTATTTATATAAAACTCAAATCCTACTCACATGGGTCCATTTAACCCATAAAATCTTACTCATTTTATAGGTTATATATGTGTTTCATAAAATGATCGGATATGAACTCATTTAATGATAAAACAAATATGATAAAAATTTTAGGTTATTATTTATATAAAGATCGAATCCTACTCAAATGGGTCCATTTAACCCATTAAATGATATACACATATAACATATAAAATGAATACATGTACATGAAATTCTTACAAAAATACATAAAAACATACACAAGTGTAAATACATTCACCATAGGACCAACAATGAATGGAAATATACACACAAACATCCCACACAATACACACATAAAACAATAGAGTTTGTACTCTCCAAAATCCTTCAAAGATTTATAGGTACACAAATTTGACAGCTATTAGTTCTTACACACCCAAAGGGCAAAGCTACACACAAAGACAACATCTTTTTATACAAAACCGTCACAAAGACAAAATGTTCTTCTCAATTGAAGCTGTCAGTCAGGAACAGCCATACATCCAACACATCCACATATAATCTAAACATGTATTGTTTGATACTTTCATAATCTTCTATCCAATTCCAACTTGTTCAAAGAAATCAGAGAAAAATTTACCTCAAATTCAAGCCAATGAGTTCAATCACAACAGTCTATTTTCTTGTTTCCATTCCTGTCAAGCAAAGCAAGCAAACAAAACACCCCTTTGATTGATTCTTTATTTTCTGTCTGCATCTTCGTTTTCAGCCAAGATATACACCACAAAAATTGTTTTGCTTTCTTCTTCTTCCCATCGGTTGCAAACAGAAAAGCAGCCTCATCACATCTCATTCTTCCCTCTTTCTCCTGTCAAAAATCAAATCCAAACATACACCAAAGCCCCATTGATTCAGTCAAAACAAAAAGAGAAAAAGAAAATTGGAATCAACAAGCAGACTGCCGGAGCAACCCCCATTCGCTCACCTGTTAGCCACCATCAATCAATCTCTTGATATGGCTGCTTCCATTCATCATCTTTCCTTCGATCAGTCAAGAAATCGGAGACCCTTTCCTTTCTTCTCGTCGAGCTCCCTTGCCCAAATCCTCTCACTTGCGACGTTATTGCTCCATCGAACCAACCCTCGCACCACGCTGCCGGAACCAAAGCAAGCAGTCGACAAGCTGCTTGAGCAGCTCCTCGCTGCACCCACCGAGGCCACGGGCATCCTCGCTCCTTCTCCCTTCCTTCCCTTCAGCCTCGTCGACCCCCGGAGACGATCTCTCCTCGAGAATTGATCGACGAAACCACGTGTCGCCTTCGTTCACCAACCGACGCGTTCTATTTTGCTTTCGTTCATTCGCAACTCTTTTCCATTGTTAATCAGCAAATGACGAAGACGCAAACGTAAAAAGCCCTAATTTCTATTAAGCTTGATGAAATGACAAAACTACCCCCATTATTAAACCATTTATTGAAAATAAGTCCCAAACCCTATTTATTCAAAACAACCCCTTATTTGGTATTTTTTTATACCAAAACAGTCCCATTTATTTAATTAAATTACCAAACTGCCCCTATAGTTTAGCGAAGTTACAAATCAACCTCTATAGTGTAAATTGGTTACAAAACGGTCCCGAGTGTATTTCAAAGTCCAAGAATTTTGGATTTTTGGTTTCTAACAACAAGTTTCTCAAAAGAAACCGAAGTCGAACTAATGGAACTCACGCTTCAAGGGTAAGTGCTTACGACCCCTTTTTAATATTTCTAATTATTTCGAGGGGGGAGTACATGTGCCTATGTATTTTGTTTATGCTTACAAATTATCCTTTTATGCGAAAATACAATAATGCTAGTTTATAAAATTGTTATTTAACAATGTAACATATTGTTACATATAAACTAGTATAAACTTTTCATATATATATTATGGTTATGGTATCGTGAAATAACTAGTACACGGAACAAATGCTACATGATACGAAAATATGTGATTTATTTGACATTGTATGTCATAAAAAGCACGTCATATAAACTATTGTAGTATTTCAAGGATTCAAGTTATTACTATGCACATATATGTATATGTTTGAATACATAAAGTTTATACATGCACATATGTTCATTACTTTGGAACGTAAATCTTTATAAAAGCAAGTACATTACACTTTATACAATGAAATTCATTATGTCTAGTGACTTAACCACAATTAAGTTAGGGTTGAGAGTTATTCACATACTTTAGTTAAGGGCTTTTTAGCGAGACTATATTCATTAGTTGTGTCTAAACACTTAGCATACTCACCCTACTATAACCGTTAATCTTCGGAGCGAGATACATGTGTATAGATCTACACGGGGTTGACATCCCCACCAACGGTTGCTAGCTACAACCTCAACCGATCAATCGAAGCGGGTGATAAGTGTCTACAATTGTTACTACAATGTCTAATGAAGCGTTGTAGGGGTACCTTCAGTCACATAGATCGGTTATACGACTCACTATGAACATTAACTGGAATCTCTTTCTCTCTCTCTCTCTCACACACACACACTCACTATAAACCATGGGTTTGGTTGCTTTCAAAACCATTTTTAGCATGGAATTACTTATGTAACAGTACAGTTTGGTTTTCCAGTACATTCAAGGATTCTTTACAAACATGGTTTTAAAGTACATATTTACTTATAAAAAGATACATTTTGGAATTCAAATACTCTTTGCAAACACAGTTTTTAACTATTGTTATACATTCAAAGAAAATACGTTTTAGACTTTTAAAAGTATTAATGTTGTTAGCATAAACCTATAACTCTCACCAACCTTGTGTTGACCCTCAAAATTACATGTATTCTCAGGAAATCACTAAAAATACATTTAAGACTGATTGTGTAACGCCGTAAATTTTCATATAAATTTTTCATTGTTAAATCACAAAAATTCTCATAATACATTACATAAAAATCCCCAATTATCAAACTAACAAAACACAAATCCATAATTGTTTGATTAGTAATCCAGGATCCTCCAAAACATAACTCTTCATCTCGTGTGTACAATCGAGCCGTCGCCTTCCCGTGATCCTGAGAAGTACCTGAAACACATAACACATAACACGGTAAGCACGAAGCTTAGTGAGTTCCCCAAAATACCACATATAACACATGTTAGCCACTCGAGGCTATAACTCTATGGGCCCACCGGCCCTAACTCTGTGGACCCTCTGGTCCTAACTCTGTGGACCTTCCGGTCCTAACTCTGTAAACTCTGGAATACACACAACATAAATCACATAGAAATAATGTAGTGCAACACATCACATACATAGCATACAAGATACTCTGTCACATAACCCTACTTACCACTCAAGGTAAAGTATAGTGAGAAGACTCACCTCGGATGGCGAACAGATCCTATAAATGCTGCCGCTACACTCCGGCTTCTATCACTAAGCCAAACCATAAAATAACCCCATTAGCATCTAAGACCAGCTTTCACATTATTAGGTCTAAATATGGTCCATCAATCCGGTCCATAAATAATCCAAGCCCAATGGGCCCACCAAGGCCCAGTACCAAATGGGTCCACAAAAGTCCTCTAATGGCCCAACTATGGCCCAATTTTCCAAATTGGGCCCAAACCCTCATATGGGCCTTACCCTAAAGCCCATCTAAATATTCTAGTTCACATGACTGCTCTTGGATGGCCCATCAATGGCCCAAACACCAAAGCCTAATAGGATGACCCAACACAAGGCCCAAGTATAAATTAGGGTTTTCACATAAAATGATGATTAGGGTTAAGTGTTTCTCACTTAACCCATTAAGGACTTAACCTACTAAGTCCAAACGCGGGTCCCAATAGGTCCAAATCCACAAACCCCAAAATTAGGGTTTTCTAAGCCCTAATTAGGGTTTTTAGCCCAATAACCATCCAACTAGCCCAGATCAAAAATTTTGGGCCGATTAGGGTTCACTATGCCAAGCACCACCCACTACCACCTCAGGTAGTGGTGGTCAGTGGCGGCTCACGGCGGCGACCACCATTTTCAATGGTGGTGGCTTGAAATCTTGACTCAAAAATCACATATATCACTTTACACATAATGCACACACACACACACACACAGCCACCCTCCACAGCGGCTGGTGGCGGCAGAAGACGGTGGCAGGGGGCGGCAGCCACCATGGTTGGCTGCCATGGTGGTTGCTTGCGATTTCCGGCAGCTCATACACACCCACACTCGACTGGATGCATTCCTTCGCCACTAAAAGCTAAGTAAATACCAAATACACGCAGTGACACTCACACACTGCCACCAACCTTAAAGTGGCTGATGGCAGCCAAAGGCTCAACGACAGGGGAAACATCCGGAGCTACGACGGCGATAAGACTCGAGAAATGACGAGAGAAGAGAAGGGATTCATTACCGGCGGAAATAGATTCAGCGGCGACCACGAACACACCAATCTTCATGGCCACCTGCGACGGCAGTGTACACGGTTGGCTCCGAGCTTCCGGCTTCTCACTACGCCTCCGACAACA